AACCCGTAAGTCCAGGATTGATATAAAAACTGACCTTTCCCTTCTAACTAACTCATTGTCATCTCCTTCACTCAATTCATATTTATTTAAAATGAAGCTGTTTCAGTAAGACAGAAAAAGAGGGCCACTCTGAAGAACCCAGTTATTAACATTCAGTTCCCCAGTGGAAATTTTTAACCCAAATCCAAGATCTAATGGGATAAATGGAAAGTGATTTGAATCCATGTGTTTCTCACCAGCAGCCCATTTATCCCTAGAATTTGGATCTAGAAGGAAATAAACTGTTTATCTCTGATCTATGAGCTTTCTAAGTAAGCTTTGACTAAATGGTAGCACAACTTCTACAGGAGGCATGGAGGTTTCAGTCATTGCTCATGTAATTGCTCTCAGATTTCCCAGTTACACTGAGCTTTGGGTTCTTGCTCAAATGGTGGGTACCTGCATGGGCTGTCCTTCTGAATGGAAAAGGATGCAGCCATTCTGCACTATGTGGCACATAAAATCAAAATGTGGCAGGACCATCTCCCAAAAAGCTTGTTTTCCAGTTGTTTTGCTATATTTTTTCTTTTCCTTTTATGAATGGAATCAAAATTGTTGCCCCATTATTCCACCAAGTTAAAAACTGAGAACAGTGAAATGCATCCTAACTGAAGTGATCAGCTTTGAGAGATTCTTTTGGTGTTGGACTACACTATTATACCTCATAAGGAGCTAAATAATTTAATCACTGAAGAATAAAGTTTATAATAAAGTAGGCTATATATAGCAGAAGTCTATTTTTGAATGAGGAACACTGTCTCTGTTCTGTGACAGGGATTATCTCTGGCTGATACTGTCTGGTTTGTGTAAAATAAATCAGAGATCACAACGCGCATATTTAAAGGCATCAAATTCCATCTTTTGTTAGTATTAATGTCATTATCAGGTTCCTTATGTATTTGACATAGGTCCATTAAAAAAGAAAAAAAAGAAAAATGAAAAGTTGCACCTAAGTGTTCCTGTGTGGAAAATGTAGAGAAAGAAATATTTCTTCCTCTCATTTATTTATTATATCATGATTTCTCTTGCTGTCTTCTGTCTGCTTTAACTGCCAAACTGTCTGATATTTCATGTATTTTCCATTCTTAACTTAAAAAAAAAAAAAAAAAAAAAAAAGATTCTCAGCTGTTCAAAGTTACATTGTCCACTCCCCAGTCTTGATACAGCTCTCTGAAGCACTGCATGGAATATTCTTAGACCACTGTCAATTCAGCAGCTCCAATTTTTGAAATGTCATTATAAATGTAGGCTCTTGAAATCCACATTTAGCTACAGAGAGCAGCATTTACTTAGATGAATTGAAATCTTTAGGGATTTTAGTGCATTTCAGTGTAAATTCAGATGAAATTATGTGTAAAATCTGGAAACTAAAGGATTTTCTGATCTGTGATTGAAGCATGCAAGCAGAAAACACAGGCTACAATGTACATTCAGCTTTTATTGCCTGTACTATGAGAGTTCCTTTGCAATACCTCAATTCCTATGACACATGGCAGCCATTTCTTTACACGGGTGGAAAATGAGGCCCAGACTCTAAGTAGTACTGAGCTCTTCACACCTGAGTAGCTTTGAGGATTTTAAGCCAGGGGAAGATTCAGGTAAAGCTTTTATATAGATTTTAGAAATAGCTTCACGAGTAGCTCACACTGAAACTGGAAGAATCTAAATGCGTAAAAGGAATCAGCTCATTCTTCCACATCTCCAAAGACCTGATCTTCTCCCCTAACACATACCTCTTCCTCAGCAATAAGTTACTGATAAGTAGAGACTCAATACAAACTCCTCCATGTACCTTGTATGTGGAGCTGATGTCAGAACATGCTGAGGGCACTCACAGCTCAGGGACTGGGCAGAACCAGCAGTACAGAGGTTCCACTGGTAGGGCCAGAGCTGCTCAAGAGCACTTAGCAGAGAGTGAGTGACTTAACTCATCAAAACTTTGAGTTGCATTTTGCAGGTGTCTCTAGATTATGTAGAGAGCCTGGAGGAACTGTGCTCCCAATTTAAGATATTTTATTATTGTTATTTCCACCAAGAACAATTATATGTATCTTTTTTAAAGCAGGATAATTCTAAATGAATGTTTAACAGAGAAAAGAGGATTGATATCTTTTGGCAGAGGTGTTAAAAAAAAAAAACAGGAATATCATAGAGTCCATGAATCATTAAGTCTTGAAAAGACTGTTAGCCCATCTCCACCATGCTCACTAAATCAAATCTCTCACTGCCATGATCTCTACTTTTCTTGAACACCTCCAGAGATGGTGACTCCATCACCTCCCTGGGCAGCCTGTTCCAATGCCTTACCACTCTTTCAGTGAATAAATTTTTCCTGACATCTAGGTATCTATCTTTCCTGAACCTCCCCAGCTTCAGCTTGAGGCCACTAGCTCTTGTCTTATTTATGGATACCTTGGAGAAGAAGCTGACCCCTACCTTGCTATAACCTCCTTTCAGGGAGCTGTAGACAGCAAAATAGTCTCTCCTGAGCCTCCACTTCTCTGATTGCTAACCACCTACTGTATGTCAGCTGCTGAAATCTTTTTCTTTGACAATATTACAGAGCACTGTAAATAACTAGGAGTTCTGTAACACAGAAAGACTGCATTCACTGCCACCATGTGCTCAAAGCTAATCCACATCTCAGTTCAGAACTTTCTTTCATTCCATGTCTCCATGTTAGGAGGGAAAATGCAGACACACATACTCACACACACAAAAAGCCTGCGGAGATTAATTTCCACTTATTACTTGGCATAATCAGGATTCTTAATGACCCTATTCTAAAATTAAATGCATTAATTAGTATTCTAGTTATATTATTCATGCAATATCTAGTTTTGCTATATACTGTAAGAAAGAATTCATTTACTGGAATGCTTTTTAGGTCCCATTATTCAAGTATATTTTGTCCAGCATTAAGACTTTGAAAAACATTCCCTGGTGTTGTCAATGGGAAAAAAAAAAAACAACACAATTTCAACAAGAAATCAAAATGGTTAGGAAAAGGGCTAAAAATATACTGCATTTTCTCTAGGCTATGATACTTTTTCACTATTTTAATATCGAGGATACTGAAATCTTGTTTGTAGAAGAGAAATCTGGTGCTTCGATTTCAGGTGTGTAAGTCATAAACATTTGTGTATTATCAGATTTTTCTGCTTGTAGACTGAAGAGGAACTTTGCAGTATATTTGATGATATTTCTGAGAATAAGTATCCTGACAAAATCTCACCTCCATTGTGCACCAGAAAAGCACTGCTGACCTGTCCATTAGGATCAAGACTTGGAGTGGGATGTCTGGTACACAAAATATTTAAGTCTCAGAAATGGACTGCAATCTCAATTCCATTTTTTCCCTTTTCCCCCTTCTCTGGTTAAAAGGAAGAATTCTAAGAAAATGCCAAGGTCCTCAGCTGGCAATTGACAACTTCATAAAATTGTCATAGTCCAGTAGCATGTTAATTATGCTACATACCCACAGATACACCCTGGGAGAAAAAAAAAAAAAAAAAAAGTGAACAGTGGGTCAAGTCAGTTTTGTTCCCTTGTGAGTTCCTATCCCACACATTCCCCCTTATTTTCAGTGAGGAAAGCAGAAATATGTACTGCACTGTGCTGTCCTGCACTGATCAGTGTGTGCATACTGGTCATCTGCAATGCCACAGAGCTAAATTATAATGGCTTTTCCCTTGGTAGCAGCCCTTATCAGGTTCTCTCTTGTTTCTGCAGCCTTCAGTGTTGTTAGGGTTTCTGGGACTTCCTGCTTGGTAGTTTGGGTTTCACATAGTGACTTGTTCAAAAGTTATTGCAGAGGAGGACTGAGCAAGACACAGATACATGGACCTCACCATGTGATGGCCTAAGCCTTAGTTATTGCAGAAATTAAGCTAAACTCAAACATACATGTGTATGTATCTGATTCAGAGAAAATGCTAAGGGAGATAACTACATTTAAATGCACAGGTTATAAAAACATCTGGAAAGCTGTTCTGACAGAAAAACGGGGCACTTTTTTGGACATCTAATTTATGTGGCATTAGACATCTTGAAATTTAAACAAGGCAGTATTGTCATTGGTCATTTCAGTAAGATCAAAGCGAAGCACATGTTAAGCACAGATTCAAGCAGTTCAGTATCCTAATTAAAGCTAATAGTAGCCTTACGCAAGGAAGTTGTTGTTTCCTGTTAAAGCATGCTGCCCAGTTTTACTGTCTGTCTTTAAAGTGTGGCTGCATGAGATTCAAACCAATTTGTGAAGTGTGAAGCGTGCTTTGGAATATTATCAAATGATGTGAAACGATAAATCCATGAAACTGATAATGCCATAAAAAACCATATTCAAATGCTTTGTTATCCAAGGGATTAAAGTTAGTAATGAATCCCAAAAAGGATTTTACTCTTTGACAGCTCTGGAAAAGGAAACTCAGATTTTTATAGAAACACTAAAATAGTGTTATGAAGAGGTTTTTTTACTATGTTCTTGGACCAAACCTTGCATCACTGAAGCAATAAGTCTTTTAAAAGCAAACTGAAGTGTTTGTATGGATAAAGCAGGAAAACTTTGGCCTATAGCCTTTCTTTCATGGCAATGCTGCTGTAATGGTAATAACTGCATTAGCGAATCAGGGGAGCAGTTTTTGAATTTCTGATACCAGTTTGGAAAAGACAGCCTAAAGCATGGAAGAAAGCCCCAATGCTGCAGCATACCTGTTAGTTCATAAGCCTCGGTTTCCATTTCTCCCACTCAAGTGTCTTAATGTTATGTAACAGGAGAAGGGAATGTTCCTTTCTTTTGGCAGTGGACACTGAATCCAGCTATTCATCTTGATGGGACTGAGCAGAGCATTTGAAACCAAATGAGTTATTATGGCCTGTGGTTTCAGGAACTGGTTTAAAGATAGCCTCAAAATTATCAAAATTTACATAAAGAAAGACATCTGACTATGGCCATGAAATATTTCTACCAAGTTTGGAAAGTAAAACTCAAGCAATGAATGGTCTGTGTCATAAATCAATTTTTTGGCTGCATGAACAGGCCAGCGAAGAAAGAACATTGAATAAGCAAAGGTTTTAATATTCTGACAATTATAAACAGTCCTTTGTTTTTCTTTTTCTCTTACATGTACATGGGTGTGGGCCGGGGAAGCCGTATATTCATAAAACATCTGGTGTTCAGCTTGTTGTTATAATCAATCAGTCTTCTTATTTTATTTTTCCAACACCGCACAGGAAAAAAGAAAAAAAATAGACTCAGACCTCTTAATTAAAGAACCAAAGCCTCCTCCTTCTGGGTACAAACAGAGCCGGAGCTGGCTCAAGTTTACTGTTTGCAAGATTTGTCTTAGGGGAGGAAAGTCCTCCTGGTTGGAAAGAACAGTTTCTTGGTTTTTAGTGCCTTATGGTAAAAGCTTTGGAACTGATGGTAGATAGTTTCCAGAGCAATTGTTTACTCACAGGATAGAGAATGGTATTGCTGACTCATTCTTTGCACGCATTTACATTCATTATTCTGATTTAGAGGAAAACAACACTTTAGCTTTAAGTCCCTACATTTACGGATGTAGTAGTAACACAGACACAGGCCTCGACTTCCACAGAACTGCAACACTTCGTAACTCTTCATTCATGAAAAGCATTATAACTTCCCCAGGTGATATAAAATCTACTAGTATTAGGTCTGCAACCTCATTCAGCAGGTAAATCCACCTCACTTGTTTGTGCTTTTGGGATCTTCTTGAATCTCTGAGAAAGGATGGCCACGTTTTCAAAAGCCCTTTCCATCCTTCCAGATGTATGGTGAAGTTATTGGCAGCAGAATCTTTGAAAATTTAGCCCAATTTCTGGAAGTTTAGCTAGTAATTTATCTAGTATTCACCCATCTTTATCAGAGCTCTTTCCTGTAGGGATATTATTGTTCATGCTAGCTGTGGACATTGTTCTGATTGCACAGAGCTGCTTAGTGCTTCTGTCCTGGATGTAGCTGAATTCACAAACTAGAATTATTGTGACATTTATCAGATCTTTTTAGTTTGAGAAATAAATACATACTAAGAAAAAAATGAGTTATCAGCCATGGCTTTCTCAATATAGTAAATGTCTGATTTATACATACACGTTTATGTTTCTGCATTAATCAAACTACATGCTAACTGTTAACATGTTCTCCAAATCTGTCTATTTGAGACAATGTTATTAAAGCCATAATTTCTGTCTTCCCAGAGCTATGTGCAACCATAAATAAGGGTTGAGAAGCCTGGCAAAGCCAAGCATCCTACCTCTCACAAATCACTGAACAGTAGAACTGAGAAATACTACAGAGTACAGAAATACTACGAGGTAGAACAAGCATATTGCAGTGTACTGATGCAAAGTGACGGAGGCAAGGGTTCAGCCCTGGTTTCACACAAAGCATGATTCTGTTGCTTAATACATTTGTTGCATTTGAGACAGCCGCTGCTATCCAGATCACCTATACAAGGCTAGCGGAAATACACAGGACCCATACACAGGTGGCTTGATCATCTCTGGAGCATCAGAAAGAACATGGTGGGAGACATTTGGGCATCTCAGGTGATCCCAGGTACTATTCATTCTTAGGTAATTGAATCTTTGCTTTTCACTGACAGAAAAGGAAGCTTAGCAGATACCTGTTTAGATACCCAAATTCAGGTTTATGAATCTGAGGGCAAACCACAGCCATTGTGATTTCAGTGCTCTTTGGACTTCACTGACAAATTTTTTTGACGCGTAAGTTCCCTCTATAAGTAACTAAGTGAACTGCAAGGTAAAGAAATATCAGTTGATGTTATAGATGTACAAGGTGATTTGCAAACATTTTTGTATTTGTGTAAATAGGATGTAGCACACATTTTCCCATGTTAAATAAAACTTTAAAAAGCCAAAATTCCTCTGAGTTCTTTCATTTCTCTTTGATTTTTTTTTCCCCAAGATTTGTCTCTCATAAACATATTAAAACACCACAAGCAAGAGAGTAAGATAACCCACTGATGAAATGACTAGCCACATAAGTGTCCTCACTTTGCAGGAAACCTCGTCATGACTTTGCCTTGCCTACACGTTAATGAAAAAATCTTGTGTTTTGTAAATATGCTCTGCAAAGTCTGGTGGAAAAGTGCTTTCTTCCTTGTTTCATCAATAAAGTTACTATGTGACTTTTAAAAAATTCCACTGCACTAGGAAAACTTCTGTTTCCTTTTATGTCCAGATTTAGCAAGTTTTTCAAAGCCCTTCTTATTAAGAAAAGTTGTGGCTGGAAACATGGATAAGTAGCTACAACGATTCCAGAAGCTATAAATATTCAGGTTATGATATTTGAGAAATTATCCTCTCTGAGGTGGGCTTTATTGTCTCCTAGGGCCCACCTGCAGCTAGGTAAGGGCCTCCCAAAGTGAAGTGGATGGTCCTAAATGATCATAGGTGGTTTTTAAAAAATAAACACAAAATTAGTTTCACACCTACTTAGACAGTTTAGAATTTTAATGTGCAAAGTCTGCCAGGGCTTTGCAGTGAAATAAGGCCATGCATTCAAGCTCCCTAAAGCCAATCAGAAAACAAGGTTGAGTACTACCCATTTCACAATTAGGAATCACTGCCCAGTTCTAGGCCATATTATTAATGAACAAACTGTTGCTTTGATCATATTTTAACATTTATAGTCTCACAAAAAATAACCTTGTTAAAAAAGAACTGCTTTAGCCTGAGAACACCTAGAAGAACTGAGATCTGTTTCATGTCATTGCCTGCAAGCACTCTAGCACATAGAGGGTTTTTCCTAGATTTTTCTGTCCATGACTCCTCCTCTCCCTCCTTTCTGCTGAGAGGCTCCCTCTGGGTTTATTTTGATATGTTTATAGACTTGTTTGTGACTTTGTGATGTCTGGTAGCTTTGGCCCAGGTCAAAACCTTTTATCTGAGATCACCAGCTACAAGACAGTTTGGTCCCATCTGCTGAGATGGTCTCTGACCACCTCAAAGAGCAGCAGCAGACAGCAGCCCCATGCTCTGCCCCTTGCATTGCATATGCAGTCAGCTTGCACGGCCTGCATTTGTTTTGGATTTATTCCACATCTGCCAGACAGCTCTTACGCACATTACCGATTTGGAAAAGCTCTAGGTATGACTGAGCTTTGCTCAGATCCGTCGTTGGCTTGAGAGGAGGGATGGATAAAGGTATGTTTCACTGTTTTATGTCAGCATTTCTTTATGTCATTAGACACTGGGCAGTGCTTGTTCTTACTGCAGCTCAGGTATTCTGATGGATTTAATTCTGCCACCTCTATTCCATGTTCATAGCAGTGTGATGAAGCAGCCATAGGCTGGGCAGCTTTCCTTTCCTTCGTACAGTTTCTGTGCAAATCTTCTGAAAACTGTCATCCAGTTCATCTTCACCACTGGGCAAAACTATAAAAGAAAAGGGTTATGATGTTGCCAGGGATCTGATAAATTGTAGGTTCTTTGAATGCCTTTATTAGCAGAGTTTTAAAATTTCCCCTTCATATTTGAGATATATCTGAGTTCTAGTGTCAGGCTACCAAAAGCAAGCAAGCAAGCAATCAAGCAAAAAAACAAAACAAACAAACAAACAAAAAAGCACCAAAACAAAACTACTCCAAACATTTAGGCCTTATGCTTCCCTTTTTCTTACAGAAATTGAGTAGGAAATAGAGCAGGACTTTACTGGGAAGTCAGAGGTGAACAATACTTGAAGGAAATGAAGCTACTGCAACAGCCAGTTACAGAGAGAGAAGAAAACATTTATCAACATCCAACCACAATTATTATTTAGCATTTGCAAAGAAGTAGTGCTTGAAGATACTAAGCAGCAGGCCAGTGTATCTGGCACTGTTTGGATTTGTGTGAGAGAACATTCATTCATCCTGAAAAAGCCTTGTCAATTAATACTGCATTGTTTCAGTTAGTTTTTTTATTTGCTTAGTGACTCATGCATCTCCAAAGATGTTAGTTTTTGATAGGATAATTCTGCTGTATTTTGTATTAGGTTTCAGCCCTCTGAAGTTCCTGCTGAGAACAACATGCAAATAATGCTACATTATAAATGCCCTCATAATTGCAATAATTAAAGAACTGTAGTCCTCAGAGTGTGTACCGAAATGCACATTCCCTATCAGGCTTAAATGTTCCATCTCCACTTGAGTCAGTGTGGGACAGATGTCTTAGGAAGGACTCCACCAGAGCCAGCAGTAAAATACCTTAGGAAATTATAGCTATTCTGCTGCTTTCAAACATTTTGGCACCCTTCACCCCATTCACTTCTGACTATCTAACACCCCTCATCTGATTCATAAGCACCAGTTAGCTCTTCTGCTTTTGAAATGAGCTAACTGGTTCCCTGTGACACCAGACTTGTGGGCTGTCCCAGGGAGATGCTACTTAGGGATCACTTCCACCAGTCCTGCATCAATGCCTACAGCCGCTCCACTGGTGCCACTGCCTTGGCTACAGTGACATGATTATTTTGCTTCAGTAGGAAGAAATGCATTTTGCCGCATAAACACAGCCACTGAGAGCAACTGTTTTCCTGAAGTGCTTCGTGTCTTCTATGCTTATGTGCTCCCAGCTCCTTGCAGTTCATGAGCGAAAATTGTTTCCAATCTCTTTTTTTGATAATGATAATGATGATGACAACAGCACATTTATATAACAGTCTATATCCAGGTCTATGATGACTAATCTAGAACACGCAGTTCTAGGACATATATGCCTATACTTCACAGCTATCTTCCTAGATAAGCAACACAATCCTGACAAATTATACAACATCTTTCTCTATTCTCAATGAAAAAGTCAGATTTACTTATAGAGAGATCTACAAGAACTATTAACAAAGAGCTGTGTGAGTCCACTCCAGCTGAAATCCATCTCACCTCCTCCTCTTCTGAGATACCGCCTTTGGAAAGATGAGTACTTTTGTACAGTGGTGTGGTTTTAAGAGCATGTGTAACATCAAGACCATTCATGATAAGACATTTACAAAATCACAACCTATTTAACCTTGTCAACCCATCTATAAAGAGCAGATTGAAATTACACATTAAAGTGTAGGCTGTTCATTTTGGCTTGACTACACCAGCAATCGCATCATTATAATTTCTGAAGGGGGCAAAACAGCATTAGCACTGGGAAGGAATCATAAAATTACATTAGATGCTATGATTTTAATTACAGCCACTGGAATGGGGAAGAGGACAGAATAGGAAATACAAATACAAAGGGAGTATAAATAGCATTCCCCCTTAGGAGATTATTATTTATCTTACTCCGGCTATAAAGTTGCTGTATTTTCCTAACTTCCTGCTTTGGAAAGAAGCCACTAAGTTAAAAGACAATGTGGTTTTGTAACGCAAAGATGATTTTCTTAATTTATAAATCTGGATATTCCAATGCAATGATTAATTTAAAATGAAGACTGGAAAACAGTTTAGCGAATTCTAAATGCCTTTTCAAAGGAAGAAGAAAAAGGAATAATTTTTTTCCAAAGAAAATGAATTCAAAAAGAAAATGAATTGTGAATATTAGATGCCACTCTCCTTTCTTGTAGATAGGTTGCTCTGGAAGTAGTGCCTCCTATTTATTTCCATGGAAACAACAACAGATACAAAGAGCACGATAACACTATCTGATAGAGCAAACTATCAGCCACAAACACCATTAGCTGTGCATTTTCACTAGCAATGAACAAAAGAGCCTGTATTTCACACTTGTAAAAATCTGCACCAGTGGAGGTAACCCACTGTCACTGTCAACACTGCTGAAACACACCACCCACCACCTCGCTGTGCTCACATCCACTGGTTGATCTCCATTAATATTCACCAAGTATCAATGAATATTGATGGGCATCATTTTTTTCCGCATGGAGGATTTCATTGACACACCTTTGCTTCATATGTACTTCCATGTCAGATGCTGTTCTATCAGACTGCCCCTCTGTTGCCATCACATGGCAACAAAATGTAATGGAATATTGCTGGATAGGTTCAACCTCTGCAGCCATTCCACCATCACCTGCCTCTGACGCTGTGGGTCAACATAATAAAACAGAAGGCATTACTTTCAGAACAGCCTTTGTGCATCCCTTCATAGGCTGGTTTATTCATTCTCACGTTCACCAGATGAGTTTTCACTGGGTTAATTTGTACTGAATGATATCTCCTCATGATGCAAAATATTACTGTCTTTTGGTAAGGGGATCACAACTGCCCCGAACACTATATAAAGAATAAACAGATTTTGAAATAAAATCCTTAAAACAGATAATCAGATCCTGTGGTTGATGTTATGATCAACAGTGCACGACACAGTTATCTCTAAATGCATGCCTACTGTCATTTAAGGCACCACAGGATGACGGGAAGTTCACTCCATCCCACCAGAGCCAGGACATGGAGGTGCCCTGTATGAACAGTTGGCTGTGGGGGTCCCCAGAGGCCTCTGTGAGTCAGGGCCAAGGCCCAGCATCCATGATGCCAATAATGCAAGGAAAGCCTATATAGGAGAAGAGAGAGAGTACTAGGGTGGGCATCTGATAGCCAGCCAACATCAGCCCACCACAGAAGGTTAACTTAGAAGACATTGGAAAAGTATAAATGGAATCAGCTTGTGCTGCACTGGTTGTAAAGTGGTGAGATACTATGCCAGAAGGTGGAGCAATCAGAAGTTACACCAGTTTGGCCAAAAGAGTAACCCAAACTGTTAGGTACTTGTTTCACGCTGAAAATTTTCTGCAGTTGTAGGAAGAGAACATCATAACCTACTTTCCTCACTATACTGGATCTTATCCTCATTTTCATTAGGCACATTCATGGTTGCAAGATAAATACAGGTGCCATAAATAGAACTGTATTGGCATAAATATGACTTCCCTACTCAATCCTTGGCTTATGTAAACAGATACACACTTACTTCCAGCAAGTGCTGATGTTGGAGCACCATCGTTTCAAGCCGTCGGTGTAGTCTTCCACAATAAGGCAATTTAAATCTGGGGTAGGACGAACATACTGTTGAGGCTGTCTACTTTCCTCCCTTGATTACAGAAGGAGTTTTGTGCAGTAACACCCTTTACGGTAGCATTCCTGGCATTCAGTCTGGGAAGGCAGGTAAAGATTTCAGCTGCAGCATGCCTGCAGGGAACTGCATAGCTGGGGCCTCGCAGGTAGATCTCCAACATCACCCTGCACAGCAGCAAAAAAGATTTGCCGATAAACTGCTGAAGTGGACAGCAGTGGCCCATAACACACTAGCTGGTGGAAGGATTTAGTCTCTGAGAAAAGCTGAGGCTCTTGTCCACTTTCTCAGGCTGCCACTGAATTCCCAAAGCAGCAGAGGCCAAGAGTTTAGCCTTGCAGAGAAGGAAGAGAGCACTTGTGAGGCAGCAATTCCAAGTGCTAACGAAGGTCTAAGTCATTCTCACAGGCTGTCATAAACTATGGTACTGGACTCTCCAGGGTTTCCAGTTAGTTCTCTCAGTGATGTTAGTTTGAAGTCCCATATGTTAACACAGAAGTAATTTACAAGGCAACACTTTGAGAGTTAGCTTTCAAATGTTATGGGTTGCTGAAATTACGGAACACACAAAGATTAATGAGTGCAATCGCACGTAATTTCTCTTGAAAGAAACAACAAGCCATCTTTAAAGAGTAATTAAAATGTAATATACTGTCTGAGAGATTACTTGGATGTCATAACTTCAGCTCTTACACCATAGCTGAATACATGTTGGACATCCCTGGGACTGCCATTAAATTAAATGGTGTGGAGGTCTGCAAAGGTACAGGGATGTACTGCCCATATAGAATCAGTTGTAGGACATGAATAAACCTGATATTTATTTACAATTGTTAACCTTCTTGCACAGAAAGGCACACGCAAATTTAGACACCGCATTTCTGATTTTTACCTTGCCATGTAACTTCAGATTGAGCATTAATTCCTTTCACAGTGGACTCTTTCAATGGCAGTGCTGTTCCCTGTGAAGCATGCAGTGAGCAGTTAATCATTAATTCTTCACGGTTCATATTTGCTGTCTGTTTTACTGCTTATATTTTGATATAGATCCTTAGAATAGACTTAATGCTGTCATTAGGAGTCACATGCTGGATCTTTATCTAAACTATTATCACAGTCCAGACATAGCATTACAACCTCCTTTTGTAAGCCGAAGTTACAGAGTTCAGAAAGCCTTAAAACTTTATAAATACTGTGTTTTTTATGGTAACGGAACAGCTGCAGTGGCAGACTGACACACATACACGCCCTGCCTGAGTCTGCCTAGTTGCTGTAAACAGGTGCACCTAAAGGTTAAAGCTGTTATTTTTTTTATCCATGACACTAATTTCATTGTTAAAGTCTAGCTTTACAACTGTGTGTGTTAGGATAACGTAAAGGAATTCAGACACATATGGTGAATGAAATTCCTGGCTTTTGCAAAGGGGGTGTATTTTTTAATAGAAATTGCAGTTAATGTAGTGCAGATAAACCAGCTGGCTACTGAAAAAAAAAAAAAGAAAAAAAAAGAAAAGAAATTGTTACTTGATGGAAATCATATGTCACGTGATTTGTGGAGACTTCCCTCAAAATAATCAAAATCACCACAAAATAGTGTGAATAATAGTACACAGCATTTTAGGAAGCTTTATGTCTTTCTTTTAAAATCTCATACATAGTCAGGAGTCAGATTCATATGTACTTTGGAAGAACTAGTTCTCACTGTGTTAAAGTGCACCAGTGGGAAGGCAGAGGCATTTGAAAACTTCAGCCCAAGTGCTTTAGATCAGGTCTCTAGGCCTGTGGCTAACCTACTCAGCCACACTAGAAACACTTTCCTCCTCCTTGCTGTACACTAGTGTGCTTGTTTCTTGGAAGAGAATCTCAAAGATCAGGATCAACAGTAAATAATTGCATTTGGCATTCCCCTTTGCTTACACCTTCCATAGGGGATGCAGTGTATTTAGCTTACATTGGACAAGTCATTTCTCACACAAGTAAGTGGTTTTCTTTCTTCCTTCCAGCCACTTTTGGTGAGTCTGCCTAACAGGATATGATGGCCCAAAAAGGCCAAGGAAAATCTAAACAGGCTTCTATTTAGAACAGTTTTAAACAGCTTTTTGGATCAGTGCAGTCTTTCATAGGCTAATAGTTCAGCTGAGAAGTGAATGATAGAAGCCTGGGTGGAGTTCTGTGTTCAAGATCATCCAGTGCTGCTTCCGATATCTCTGCATGACACTGAAAACTGTGCCGTACAGACATATCCTCAGCCCATGGCTTTTAAAAGGCCAGCTTTCACTTGTTTCAAGTGGCAAAAGTACTTTGGAAAGATCATAGAGATGAAGCCAATGAAGACATAGAGAAATGTCGTGTAGAAATTAATTGAGAATTAGATCATTTCTGAAAGTCTGCAAGCCATGCAAAATATTCAACCCAAGATTACATCTCTGCTTTAGAAATTGATGAATTGATTTAAAGGTTCTCTTTAAATCCCACTGGGCTTTTTTCCGATGCTTGGTAATTATGTAGAAATTGAGTCTTGTCTTTTCAGGATTCGTATTTGCTCAGCCAGCCACTGAACCCAAAGTTTCCAGAGAGATTTTTTGTCACTCTTTTTTTACAGAGTGTTTCTTGGCTTTAAAATTGGCAGTCATGGCCTGAACATTTCTGGAGATGTCACAATTAGGCTTCCTCTGCACGATATCTGGAAAAGTCATCTTTGCTTGCCTTTGAAAAATTAAAGTTTCCAGACAATTTCCCTATAGCAAGACAAGTTACGGACTTGTAATGTCTCAAAGTTGATTTAGAGGTATTTCTTAGAGAATACTATTTATATTCTTCAACTAGAGTGGCTTTGCATAAAACCCACTGGAGGATGACTATCTGGGTTTAAACTTCCTTGAGTTTAAATCCAAGAAGTTCCCCGTATTTTTCAGGAATTAGTATATCAGTGATCTGATGTCAGATTTGATAAGAGTTAGTTACCACATGTGCTCAGTATATGATCCAGAACAGGAAGGACAACATCTAATTAAGTAGATGACAAAATGCAGCAACAGATATCTGGAATACGTGTTCCTCAGAAGGAGAATATATTTTGCTATTGGGCAAAGTATCACTGAAATCAGCTGCAATTGTCTCTTTTCATTTGGTGTCTGTGATTCAGATATTTGAGTTGTTCTGAGCTATCTCCACTCCCCTTGAAATTACTGAAGAAAATGACAGTGATTAATCTTTTCTTCTGGCAGTTTGCCAGTGAATGAAAAGCGTAATTTCCCCTTATCACCTCAGTTTGCACAGCAGATTTATGAATTCAGCACAGACTGCAATTTGGGCTTATTTCAGACAAATTTTTAAAACAGATAGATAGGGTTATTTATCAATCTTTAAATCTTTTAGCTCTCCCCATAACCCCTATCTCACAAACCATGATTACTTTTTTTTCCGGTGTCCTCTGACTGGCAAGGCCCAACATTTTTCAGTATTTCTCCAATGTCTTCAGAGGATGGCTCAGGCCCCTGCTTTCCTCCTTTTAGGGACTGATTATCAATGAGTGTCACACCGATGTTATCTGAGAGCACTTGTCCTTTTCTTTCAAAAATCTTTTTGTAAAATGTTCTGCTGATATTTTCCATTCCTGATCCTGACAAAATAATCTACATTGTAAGCGAATATGTATGCATTGTACGTAGCTTTTGTAAATAATTGATACATAGAACATTAGGAACAAAAGTCCCATAAATTTGAGTGAAAAAGGAATTGATAGGCTCAACTACAGTTTTTCACAAATGTCAATAGTCAGCTTTGGTTGTATGCCAAGAACAGTGCTCACGTGCATCTGGGCAGACCAGAATACATTTATTTATAATGCATATCGTTTTCTGACCTTTTATTTAAGCCTGAATTTGATCACATTCTGTTTCTTCTTTCATGTTTCATTATTCTTTTGTCTCAGTCTTACGTTTCACTAGGAATCAATTGTTGGTTTTCTCTCTTATTTCCAGTACTTCACTTTATTTTTAATTCCTTCTCATAACTTCCCCCTACCTCTTTTATAATCCATCTCCAGAGCTCTCATCTAAGCCTCTTAAGTGTACACAGCTATGATAATATAGCACTAACAAGAGCATAACATGTAAATAAGTCTGTTTCCCAGAAATAACTGTATTTCTTTTGGCTGTCCCACGGCATGACAAAACTAGTTCTACTGATGCCACCTGAAGTAAAGGTTTACTATATTTGCTTTCACTGACGCCAGTATAAGCCAGAACTAAATTAGAACCATTAGCCTTGCTAATAAAATTGGCAGCACTCGCTGACAGTAGCAGTGGGAAAGGCAAGTGCAATATAAGATGATACACGTGCCCCAGTTCCTTTTCAGATCAAGATATGACTCACAAATTCTGGAGTCACAGAAATGGCAGCACTGGAGCCTAGTCAAGAGGGAAGAAAAAACTCCTTTCCCATGGAGAGATTACATTCATTAAGATTTAGTTTTGAATTTTTTACAAATTGTTTTATTATTTTTCCTCAGTTTCTGCAGGAAGACAGTCTGGCTCGAAGATAAAGCAAAGAAGAATAACAAAATTTAAAGTAATCAAACAGAACTACCAGAAATCTTCCTGTCAGTCCCCAAACTCTAAGCTTTCATTTCTATTTAAGAATTTGTGTTGCTCAGAGGTTTAGCTATCGGTTCTAAATGACTACCCCAGAAGCAGGGAGCATTTGAAATAAATGGAACAGCTGAACAGCTGTCTGTATTGCCTCAGTTATAAAAGGGACTGTATTCCCATAAAGAAACAAAAATAATGAAGTATTTTCTTGGGCTGTGGTAGGAGGCAGTTGGGAGCTTTTCCCTTTCAGCCTGCTGGTTCCCCCTGGAGCTTAGAGAACACCTGTTCCAAGGAACTTCTGGGGCTGAATGGCTAGAAGGTGGACTTCCTTCTGAAACAAAACCAAAGTGCATAGAGGATGCCAACATTCCATAGTAAAGGAAAGCTGTTCTACAGTTTCTTCAGTTGTTTGGTTTTCTTGGTTTCAAACAGAAGAGTGATTTCAGACAAATGCTTTCTTGCTTTTGGGCTTGTGATTCACATTTGCATTTTTTTGTATTTATTTTTTTAAATATTCAGTGGAATATAATCTTTTTTTCTTACAGATGAGAAGTAACAAACCCAAAAAGGCATTTTCTCCTGACTCATTTACACTAAGTTGTTTTTAGTCATCTGATTGATGTGATAATGCCTGGGCCACTGCAAACACCTGTTTTCTGGAGCACAAAAGAACACCAAATATTAGATAGTCTTGCAGCCTATCACTGATACACATTTTGTAATTATTTTCAATTAAGTGCAACTTGCACATTTACTTCAAGGAAAATAAAATTGGATTATTTATGGGCTGGGAGGAAGGATTAGAGAAGACAAAACATCACCTTTCCCTCTTCCACCTTGCTGTTAACCATTATGACAGAGCCAGCACATCACAGCAGAGCATCTACTGTAAACACAGAAAGCAATCTCCCCAGCTCCTCTGCCCCCCACTTCCAAATAAGGTAGAACATGGAATAGAATTGGCAGACGTGCAGAGACGCACCTCTGGGAGGCAGATTGACCCCAAGGATGTTGGTGGTTGTGTTGTTTATTCAGTTTACCACTAATTTCCAAGGGAGAAATTCCACATTATGGAAGAGAACGAAGAGATGGCATATTGTTTTAACAAAAATAACTTTGGTTTTTCAGTTTAAAAAAAAAAAATCTTTTGAAATACAGAAAACTGTTTCATTAAGAAAATAAAACCCATTTTAAAGCATATTAAAAGCGTTAACATAGTGCCTGCTGCCAGAAGAGCCTGACTGCCGTGCTGTTGAAGGAAGGAGGACAGCATCGTTATTTATGAGCGTCTGCACTCCCTCAGCCTTTCATGAAATCCTAATTTTATCTGGCAGCTCTTAAGAATCTCTGAGAAACTGGGTCCTTTGTTACCACTGCCTACATCTAACTTCTGCACCTAAAAAGACATGGATACTTTTTTTTTTTTTTTTGTAAATAAAGAAGAAAAGTCTGAACTTTCTGACATTAATATCACACTACTGTGTTAGTACCTCAACCTTCAAGCTCCTCTCTCTGGGAAAGCATCAGTAAGTGCCCCTTTTTGCTCAACTTCCACCTCCAGGTTTTACAATAGCTTTTCTGAGAACAGGATCAGGCCTCAGTCATCTGTTTTCACTGGGGAGAAAAAACAAGACAAAACAAAACAAACAAAACCCCTTTATTACTCTTTGACAGGAGCATAGTTAAGCCTGAGGGGGTTATTTTTCTCCCATTAACTTTTTCTAACCTCATCCCTCCCTCATTTTCTTTCTCAGATTTACTCCCAAACAGTTCATGCGTATGTGTTCATGTGCCTGTGTGTCTATCTGTGCATATATATGTGTATGAGTACATTTATGCATGTAACAAAAAGGAGTCTATCTGTTCAGATAGCTTGCTGTTTGTTTGCAACATGACAGTTAGTCCTTTTGACATCAGTGTGAATAAACAGCCTGATCCAATAAAATAGGACTTTTCACTCCCAAGAGTTTGTTCCAAGACTGTGGAACCCAGGCTAGCAAAGAACATCTGCAACAGTTAGTGGAAACCCTAAGAATTCTTGCGAATAAATAGATTGGAAACTAAGTTGGAAATTTCTCAGTGAGATATAAATTTTAAAAAATGAAATCCAGTTGAAGTACCCAGTTTCCCTGGGAGAATACAAGTCTAGCCAACCCAAGTCTAAATACATGTGGTAGTGATCACTGTATGCTGTTTCCAGTTTATCATCAAAAACAATCATAGCTAAATTATTGTCATTTAAATTTAGCTTCTAACAAAGAAACGTTACATTTCTTATCATACATTTCATTGCAAACCTCCTTAATAATGAAAATGCTGGAAAGACATGTAACAATGCATTTTTTAAAACTTCCTCCACATTTTCTTCCTATTGCCAGATAAAGCAGAATCCTATATGAACTTTAAATGCTTCAATAAATGCTACAGATGATGAACAATACAGGTCAGGTAGATTTAAGTGTTCTGATTCAAGTTATATTTCAGTCTGCTCTTCAATATATTCAACATGGTAACTCTCTGCAGATTAGACTCAGTGAAAAACCTATTTTCAAAGGCTGAGGTCTCTCAACTGTTTTGACTTTCACTTCTTCACTTTTTCTTTTCTTCTATGTTGTTTCATTTTGGTTGTACACTTACTCTTCCGGTTACTGAGTTAACACAGTCCTTTAAAGACTAACTTCAGGGTTCTTTTATGCTTACCACTGGCACAGTATTATAAAACAAAACATTTGGATTATATAGATCATAAGCTAATAGATAGAAGTTACCAGCTTTGTGGGAAATACTTCACTCATAAAAAAATGCAATATTGTTTGGCTTGATTTAGTATAGCTTTGCTACATAGAATATGATTTAGTATAGCTTTGGTACGTAGAATAAATTATTTGCAGCTGGCTTATCCGTGCACATGCTCTGGGAGTGAGGAACACATGCATGTTATCAATTCATTATTTGTGCTACAGTTCATTACCAGTTACGTGCTGGACAGCGACATCACTGTCTACCCTACATGTGAGGTTATAACATTAGTGGCAATAGATATCAAGCTGTTGGGAAGAAAGCAAAAGCTAGACTGTGGTTGGATTAACATTTGATTGCCTAAACAGTACAGCTTTGAAAGCATGGGAAAATTTGCCTAGTGAGCAAGCTGGATTTTTTTAAAAAACATAAAGGCTGCCAAGCTCCAAAACCTAAGGGGAAAAAAAGAGCTTGTGGAGAACTTTAATTAAAGCTAGCAGAGACTCCCCTCCTCCTTCTGAAAAGAACTTAAATATGTAATTTTAACTCCATACTCACACCGGCTCTTTTTCTTTACTAGTACTACTAATAATAATAAGGTTAAGCATGACATTTTTGCAAGTGTTTTCTCATCTGCCAGTCCCTATTTCACCTTTGTCTATTATGGTGAAGAGGAGACAGTCTATTCTAGTGAATATTCACCCAAATTGATCCACAAGTCCTAGGTTGCCTTTTTTTTCTTTCTTTCATTAATATGCACACGTACCAAGTGCTTACTCAGTTTAGTCTGTTTTGAAGGCAATATGAAGTTTACTACCACTCTTTGCTGTATGGATACAGACTACTGAAGTGACTGTACTAAGGATGCCCTCTACTGAGAAGAAAAGGATAGAAGTTTAAATATCAGCTACAGGGAGGCTTCCTTAGTTAGAACAAGTTGCAAAAAATGGTTTTCAGGAGTAGAGAACATTTCAGTATTTCATTTTTCAATTTTGGAACAGTTCTGTTAATTGTGTGGACAGATATGGCCACAGTACTGTAGGTTATACTAAACTAAACTGGACCAGGGAATGTTCCTGAACAATTCTGATGAGTTCAAGTGCTAGAAGGATGCCTACAAAACTGTGGCTGACTTCAGTTAGCAAACTAAAACCACTTCTGAGCATTATTTGGCAGTGTTCCTTATGAGTAGTGTGGAGTTGGCCATGTTGTTTTGGGTGGAAAGGGATTTAATGCTGTGCTTTGTACTAGCTGACATCATGTGAGAAAATGATCCTAGACAGACTTATCTGTAGAGATACAGCTCAGAAAACAGGGACACAAGGAATCTGATAAGATAATATACTCCTTGTAGTGGGGTTGATAATGCATAGCAAACACTCAGTGATCCTGATGGATGTTTGTCTCTCCAGTTCTCAAAAATATTCAAAGGCAGAGATCCATTTGCAGCTATTTTAATTGATAACCATAGTTGGTTTTCTTCAAATCTTACCTAAACAAATGCAAAGTTTCACCGGTATTAATTTTCCTAACCTAGTAGAATAATGAAAAATCTTTATTTCCTCTTTGCAGCTATCATTTAATTATTTGGAGTGACAATACACGATTTCAGTTTTTTATTAAGATTGAAAATACTGGTCCAAGATTGCTAACTCCTACTGAAATGTCTTACAGACAAGTGCTAAAACAAGAGCTGGAGAAAGAAGAATGGTCTCTCACAATTATCCATGAACAACTGCTAAGAAGTCTATCAGCAAGTCATGAATGCTTTAAAACTACAACACCTGTGATGTATTCCTGTAATACATATTACAGGTCCAAATAGAGTGGAAAAGCTTTCTGACAATGTGAATAATTTTGTTCTTGCTCATAGGCTTTCATGATTATTAACTTTGGTGTTGTCAGTGAGCACATGATGTACAAACATTTATGGGACAGCAGTAAATGTTCTGCATGCTGAGCTAGAGGGTCTGATGAGCACAACATTTTGTGTTCAGAGGAGTATCCTGAGGGAAAAGCAAATATGTAGTCTGAACACTTTCTACGTGGTCTTCTTACTACTGTGCATGGGTTGAAATACTTTTGGACATTACCACCTTCAAAAGTGACAGATTCCATTGAATCCAGTGTTCGAGGCATGCCCCAAATATGACCGTCTGCATTTTTTATCTTTTAAGTTATGATTTACAGACAGATATAACTGGTCTTGACCATCATAAGAGCCCTCTTCCTGGAGCCTGAATATCTTCTACAGTAATAAGGAAAATATTTCTAAGGGAAAGAAAAGCATTTGTTTTGTTCTTGTTTTTTTTGTTTGTTTATTTGTTTTTGCCAGAAGGAATGCAGCACTAGAAAAATTATTTTTCAAATTATGTTACCCACATTTATTTAAAAAGTTTTCTCTATTCTGTCTGAAGGAAGGGCTGTTTCATTCCCAATTTCTGTGTCAAAAGACGTGGCCTGTTCCCTCCTTTAATGTGGGAAGAGGGAACCCACCAGCATTTTTTCACTGACATAATCTGGGCACTCTCCTGATTCAACCACGTCCCCTCCCTTTTCAAGGGTCTTTGAGGTTTTTCTGTCTTTTGATCCCAAGTGAGATGGAGCCAGACATGCAAATGCTTCCCATCACTTAATGGCCTAGCCATTGTTATCTGAACCTCTTTGAAGTTGGGAACCTGCAGCTCTTCTCTAAGGCCATTGTTTCACCTTTCCCGTTAAGTTCTGCAGCCATTCCTTTTACAGTTCCCTTTGACTTTGCAATGCATTCAGCCAGTCGTCATTACTAAAGACCCCACAGAGTCCCTAAAGATTACACAGTTTTCAAGTATTGTCAGAAGTACAATTTCAAGAGTGTCTGAGTTATCACAAGAAAAAGATTTCTTTCTGACTATGACAAATCACACAAGGTACATATGTTAGATGGTATTCCTTGCCTTCACCTTCTTTTGAATGGAGTGTGCATCTGCAAGCTGTAACACAGTGATATGGGACTGCATGTCTCTGGAAGATAAGGCATCATCCCACTAGGATCACTGGTGACAAGGAGCCAGTAGATAATATTCAGTCTAGTCTATTCTGCAGTCTAAATGCTAGACGTTTAAAAAGTGAAAATAAATCAACACTGTTCTTACTGCATTGCATAGATTTGTCTGTATTCATGTTCAGACAATGCTACATAGAAATCTTTACCATTCTTGAATAAAGTTGGCTACCTAATAAGGCAGCAAGAAAGCATCAAAGTGTGAGTAGGGATTTTGCACAGAATACTTTCAAAATAATTAACAAAGTGCCTAAATTAGGAGACTGGCGTGCTTCTCAGTGAGAGAAAGGAAGGATGTTCAAGATACTATCCAGTAACCTTGTCTTTCAAATATTATATTTTGCTGTGAAGATAATAAAAATATAATGGCAGGACAATATTTGCAGATGAAGGTAACATCTTCTGCTCAGTCAGCTAACACAGGTGGAAGAATTGGACAAACTGCAAATAAAGAAAACTTTCTCCAGGTTGGAAAGAGAAGCAGAAAAAGATTCCTCAAATTGGAACTGGAAAGTATATCCTTTGTTAACAATTTCCAGGACCTATTAATCCAACTTTTTGATATGCAAAGGAGGGAGTTATCAAAATGAATTGAGCTAAAAGGGAAAGAATCCTTAAGAAAATCTACAATCTGGTATGTAACAGGAGTGGTCATAGTTGCTGGAAAATTTTATTTTGTCTCAATGGCTTTCAATTGTGTCTTAATAGTTTCGTATAGTACTAATAATAAAAAAAAGATTTCTTACTATTCCTTTGAAGTTCTAGTACTTTCTTAGTGAAAGCCATGATCTCATATATTTCTGGTTAGGACTGGAACATATGCAGAGAAATC